CTATAGACAATAAAGTAGACCCGGCAATACAGACAAGATCAATAGTTCTCTAGCTCCTAAGGTAGCCCTAGGAAAATCACACTGGCCGATGATAAATGAATTCTGGTGATCCGTTTTTACGGTTTTAATATTAGGTGGGTGGTAAAGCCGGGCCTGGCAGTCAAAGGTACGATTCCCGAAAATCAATTTATCGATTGATTAAATTAGCACCAGGCGGAAGCTTGCGTTAAACGAGAGAAGAGGGTAGGAGAGGCAAAGGGGTGTGGATTATTAGTGAAGCACCTCTTGAGACGAGTTAGCGATACACGAGAACGACACTGTGAGTGCAAACATCGGCACGGGTGACAAGACGAGCAACGACGGCCATCGGCGACTGAAGGAGTCCGCTGTGGACAGCGATTGAGCTGATCATCCCGGCGGCTTCTGCAATGCGTGGATTATCTGAAGAAATTTCAGTTAAAATTGATCATGTGAGAATTTTTACTGATAACTAGGGTGCGTCCATGGGTCCATGGGAAACGGAGACTAGGCAATTCCTTTGAATCCCTGCCCTTCCAGTAAATTTAGATTAATTTGGAAAAAAATGAGAAGGATAAAGCATTTGCCGTTGATCAATCCCTTTTTGGGATGCGGCACGCATTCTACTTCCATTTGTACATTCGTAGTGGCGTTTGAATGCGATGTGGCCTATACAATGACTTGGGGCCAGCCGATGTACAAGTCAGTGTTTTTTATCCTCCCAGACAAGTCTGGTACCAATTAACCGACCCCGGAGGGATGGAAGGCTTGGTTGGCCCGGGCGACTCACGACCCAGGATTTGATCCCCGGACCGCTCGCGTGGTAAGCGTGCCACTTGCCACTACACCACTTCCGCCCATGTTTGAGGATATTGTTTCTAAATAACGTAGAATCACTTGTTGCTCCTCTATCCTTTAGGAGATATTCGAAAATTGAATTTGAAACTCAGTGATCGCGTCATCTCACATCTAGCAAAAAATTCACTGCTTCAAGGGAAGTCCTGGTTTACTTGAGCTGTCCTTGGTAATGGGGTGGGTGCAGGTCAGGCTTGTTTTCCACTTCAGTCAAGGGATTACACCTCGTTCAAAGTATGAACGATGCTACATTGAGTAATCAAGAATGACAATGCATGCACAAACTCTCACACACAATTCCGAATGGAATCCGGAATCACGGCGCATCCCAAAGCTCAGCTTTGCCTAATATCATTTTCTCCCATTATCACAAGAAGACTAAATTACGGGCTCTGTTTTTACTCTGTTCCAGTACTCTTGTGATAGCTGCTGTTTCAGTTTTATGGGCAGCTTTTCCTATATCCCCGAATAATTGTGTTGTCAACCGTATGTGATTGTGTGACGGTCACGTGCCTGTCAGAGATCAGAAGTAGTTTTGTTCCGTACTTCAATGGGAGTGAAATAGGAGCTGAACGGCTTGTGGCGCCAAAAACCAGGTCAGTGAGGAGTAGTTGTTGTCTACCAGGAAAGCCACAACACACTCGAGGCAGGGCTATTGAATTACTGTGAAAATACCCCATGAAAACCGTATTTCATTCCACTGCTTTTCATCGCACAGCTGGCCTCCGCAGACGAGGGTCTTACAGAAAATGCTCTTGAAACGTCCCTTCATAAATAGGAGCAAGCCCTCCTTCACAGCCCATGCCGTCCAAAATATGTCAGCTGTCATCACCATTGACTCCAGGAGGTTTAACTTGCCTTCTAGAGCTCGACTCCCGCCTGGAACTGCTACATAATTTGAATCGAACTCGTGGATAGTCTTTAAGAGACTTTAGGTCTGACTGTGCAAGCCCCTCCCTCCGACCACTCTTCCAACAAACAGCCTAATGTCCACGATCCGTCAAGGACATCGTTGAGCTCGAACCTGGATCAAGCTGTCGGAGAAAACTCTGAGATACGACCCTCCCCCAGCCTCTTTCCCCTAATAGTCACAATTCTTCTCTTGGTAGAGATGGCCTATGAATGGAAGTGATCGCTCTTGTAACACATGTGTTGAGCT